GTTGTATATCAGACATTGAGGGAAAATAACCGTGAAAAGCAGAGTGACTGCATCAAAAGTTCGAGCTGGAATTCTGCAAGAAGTTGAAACTCTCTGAAATGTTCTTATTCTTAATGAAAAGGATGTGATATAAGATGTTACATTAGAATTGCTTCAATCATAAAACTACTACTTCAATTACATATCTGACTAATAAGGAAAAGAGAGAAAGCAAACTGCAACAGAACACAATAGAATGATACAAACCAGCATCTTTAATGCAGAGAAAAATGTGGTCCACAATAATAGAAATCAGAGAACGTCCCGCTGCTTCAGTAGATCGCTGTTGGATCACAGTCACAGCAGGAGAGGGATTGGTAAGATCTTTCCAGAACAAGTTAACAAGACAATACTGTAAATATAAAAATGAGTTACAATGAGACAATTTAAAACCTGCTGGGCCTTCGGATCTACATCTCCTCTATTTAGACAAAGATACAATCCTGTTAAGAAGCGGAGAAGAGCTCGAAGTCCTGCTCAAATCATTGTATGACAGTTCCATGCTATGTCAGTACCATATACAAATTCAAAAGAAAATAATGAAAAAGTTACTTGAAAACATGATTCCCAATTCAACTAAACTAAACCATATTCATCAATTTGTAGTTTAGCTACCCATCCATGCTGAATGGAGCCAAAGCCTGCTTAACCAAATCCATGAAAACATGATACCTAATTACCTGGTTCACTAAATGCAGGACAAACAGCTTCTGTGATATGTAACTGAACCTTAAGGCCTAGTGGACTGTTTAACTCTGTCCTCTGCACTGTGATCTGAAACAAAATTTTGAGATTAACATAAGTCATGTACCACATAGAAGAAATTAGAAATGCCATCACACTAAACAGCAGTAAAGAAAGCAACCAACACCAAACAGCCCAATGTAACAGGGGAAAAAAAGGAATAAAAAAAGCAAACCCAGAATCAGATTTGAAAATGAATGATTTGCATTACATAAGCTTCTGCTGATATTCCTTCTAAGAAGCGTTCTCAACCAAAGAAAACTCGCTTTGCACCATCATCATCTCTGTGATTTGCTCCCCCTTGCACATCAGCAAACATACCTGGATGAGGCAGGAGATCAACAGATAAAGATTCCCATTCAAGTTTCCGGCAATAGAAGAATTTAGCATCATTAGACAGGAACTTAAGACATATACAAAATGAGACATGCGGCAAACATGCTTGTAATGACAGAAATTAATTGATAGTTGAAGCTGGCGAATAATATCCATAATGCATTACCTTGAAAACATACATGAACTCCTTGTCAGAAGAGAAATCCCTTGCCTCCTTAAGGTTTACAACCTGAAAGGAGATGAAGAAACTGATCAAGTAAATATCGATCTGAGAAGACAGCCTGGAAATGGGAGATTAGATTTGAATACGAAATAACTAATTTACCTGCCAATTTTCATGAGTGGTGTAAAGTATAAGATTCCGCATGGTGATAGAAGCCATAGGTAATGCCCTGAAACCATAATAAAAATAAGAACAGTATCCCTAGGTTGCTAGAAGGGATCGCACATCCATAACATCTAGATGAAGAAGCAAATACACCTGCCATCTAAGCAGATTTCCCTCAGCAGTACACAACCAAATCAAGAATGAGAAGACACGAAACTTCTCTAAACCATCAGAAACAGAGCTTTAAATAAAAAGCATCCATAAACAATAGAAAACAAGCAATTAACAGATGGGAAAACATACAACCTTCAAATTTATCTTCATCTATCAACAATTGATGTTTGAATGGCCCGCTCCGGCCAGTGGCATTGTAGTCCGGTTAAGGCTGTTTACCTACTGTGATTCCTCGTTGAGTCCATCCTTCAATTAAAATGTAAATAATTATAATACGAAAAAAAAAAAAAATCAACAATTGATGTTTGCTTACTTGAGATGAGATGACATCATGCAATTAGGCCTTACAATTATTTGTAGACATGAACGGCAACTTCCAAAAGTCTAGGAATGGAGAACTGTGTGCCACATCAGTATTTAGAACACATTTTTCAATGAGTTTCTTAAGTCATATTAAATTCTAGTAAAATATAAAGTACTGATGTTGGTCATGAAAGGTGATGAATGCAGTGTCTTAGTAAAATTATTATTTAAATAATTAATTATATAAAAATCAAATTTTATTTAATTCAATAGCAATTAATATCTAAAAATATACTTAATTTATACTCGAACTTCACAAGTTAAAAACATCCTGTTTAAAAAACAAAAGTAGGTAAGTCTTAGCACTTAAGCTTTAATTTTAAGAAAAAAAATGTGAATTTTCACTGATAGGGTACAGGGCTGATTTGTCATTTCAGTCGGTCAAAAATTACTAATTTTTCTATAGAAAGTAGATACCTGTGCAGTGGACCCCTAAGCTCTCATCTGTAGAAAAGGGAAACCAGAAATTTGTGATCTTTTCTGTGGAAAAGCATACATGGACCTACTAAACCAATGAAATTAAAAAAAAAAAAAAAAAATCTGGCTGGCAAAATTAAATTTGATAATGGTGATCGCTAATCTGCGCAAAATTTGTTTCTAGGTTTTTTTTATCTATGAGGTGTGCGAGTGCAGGTTCAGAATATATTTAATTTTTTTTAATTTTAATGTTTAAATTTAATTTTTACATAAATTTTAATTAAATATTTTTATATAATAAATAAATACTAATTAAAATTTCTTATATATAATTTTTG